TATATATATATATATATATATATATATAGTTATGTTATATTATTATTACTATTATATTTGTTATAATATTTTTGCTATTTTATTATTATAATTATTATTATAAATATTATTATTATAAATTTGAATAACATCGTCTTTATAATAATAATAATAATAATAATAATATATTATATTATTATTATTACTATATTTGTTATATTATTATTGTTGTTGTTGTTGTTGTTGTTATTGTTGTTATTATAAAACGTACTCTTATGCAAGCTATTGTAACACGTGTGAGTTTAAAAAAAAAACAGTTTGATAATATGCTATAAACGTCCTCAATACAAATTATTTAAATAGCAAGAATGGAATTTAAAAAAAATCTACCAAAAGGCAAATGGACAGGTATGAAAATATGTGACGACTGTAAAAAAAAAATTAATCAAATATTATACACTTTTTAATTAAAAATAAAAAACTAGAAAGACGAGCTTTTCAACGCCAAAACCTCATACGACAGACTATTTCAGGTAAGGACAGGTTCCGCTCCTTTTGTTCCACAGATGTTGCGACAGAATCCAGAGCTGCGCATTAAATGGTCGCCTGTACCATGTGACCTCATCCAATGTTTGTAAACACGCGTCAAGCACATGTGATCCCGAAGTGTTCTCGAACGTGTAAAGCGCCTCGGCCAATCAGAAGCCGGGGGAGTGTCTGTGGGCAGGGTTTGAGTATTTCGCCCTGGAAAAATCGATAGGGATCTTGTAAATGATGCGAGGAGTCTATGCCTCAAGAATGGGAACTGAGGAGTTTGGACGGACGGAAAACAAGTGAAGTGTGCAGGCATCCGCGGCATGCAGATGATTCATAAAAACACGCCATGAAAAGACAACCCCTTGACTGTATCAATGTAAGTAGAAGAATTCCTCATTATGAAAGAGCTATTATTAATTTAGTTTAGTTTGTTTCTTTGTTTTAAAAAGCAGTATTATTTGACTCCTCATAAATATCTTATTATTCATGGTCAAACGTAGTTATCAAAATTCAACTGATAAATATTGTTGACGAATAGACGTCATCAGCTGAAATCAGAGAGTGAGGTGTACTGATAATTATTCCAACAGGCCTTCGTTAAGATATATTACTGCGTCACAGCTATTGCGACAAGAATATGGAGATTCGTTAGGGAATTTCGTCTGCGTAAGAGAATCCGTGAGATCCCCTTATTTGTAATAACGCGTGGAGGATGAACATGACATAAGCATGAGTGTTCAGTTCCTCTCGCATCTGACTGCATGCGTCGCGTTCATAACAACGGCTGGGCAAGGATGCTGCGCGAGCGGTTGATGCGTTGCGTGCGTCAGTAGCTGTACTTTAAGTGCGCACTTGTTATTGCCTCAAAATAAAATGCCCTCTCCATGAAGCAAATGTGTTTTAAAGTGAAACCCTGAAGGATCGTTAAGTAATAATAGTGGCTACCAAACCGAAATTGAATTAACAAACCTTTGGTCGCTTCTTTACCACCAAAAACTTTTAATATAAAAGCTTAATCGTCATAAAATATCGTTTATTATGTCACGACGCAGCGTATTCTAGCATATTCCGCGGCTTTAATAATAAACTTGCAGTAGTTTTTGTTAATACGCACTTGACTAAACGGAGTAAACAAATCATTAGCGCACTGCTTACTTTCTCCTCTAGGTGGCGCAGTCAGACCGCAGTTAAACCACCGTTAACGTGAACTAGCCTACTTAATATGATTACAAATGTGGAAGTCAGCTTTCATAACTGAAAATGAAATCAGCTTGTCATTATTAAGGTGTTATTGGAAGAGCCTCATCATGGTAGTCACTATATTATTTAGTTTTAGTATTAATATTGGCATCATTATTTGACAGATTAGGAGATGGGGAGATTATACTAGTAGTAGTTATTTATCCATCAATTTAAACACGATGTTAGCCTGATATTTATCCTAATTTGACTTACCTAGAATGGTTTATCGGCCTGATTTGTATCCATTACTGTAAACAAAGTAACTCTAGTCCCAAATGATGCAATTGTAGATTATAAACATCCTTAATAGATTATCATAAGCCCCTATGGGCATCATTTCAGTTGCCCAACAAATAATGAAAGTCATGTGAAATCAAATGCTGCCTGTTGAACAGGAGTACAAATAAAATGTTATAAAAATCCAAAGTGTAGTCTTCTAATACTCCATGCTTTACCGACTGTTTATTGACCATTAAACAAATCTCTTGGTATCCAGCTCAATTTAAAAGGCAGATTTTGACCCTCGACACGCACGCCTTTCCCTTTAAGAGCTGCTCAGCATTACACAAGCGGTCGGTCAGGTGCACAGAGGCAGCAAACCAAGACTAAACTGATGTACTGGAGAAAAAGAAACTTGTAAACAAATGTTCTCCCTCCCTCCTGGTCACTCCCTGTACTCCTCTATTGTACTCGGGCTCTGGTCTACAGTATTTCAAACATAATACCTTGTCTCTCAGGAATACGCAGCACTGGCACAGCTGAATTTTAGGGAACAGTTGCGCAGTTGTGAACAAACATAAAATGCATGGATAAGAATAAAAAATAAAATCTGCAGTTTGTGCACTACAGCATCCTTTAACATTTGGCTATTTTCTGTTTTTGTTTTCCAGTGGCAAAACCTGCAATGCTGCTCCTGGAAGCTGAATTCAGATGGTGCCATAGAGTATTTTATGGCATCTAGCACCATTTGAAATCAGTGTTCCTGGGCCGGTCCTGACATCCCGTGGTGCATCTAAATATTGTGGACTGCTGATATTCTACTGCATTGATTGTGATGTATGTCATTAATAATGTCTGAAATAAACTAAACAATTTTTTGCATGCTTTAAATGTACGTGTCTATATGGTCTATGTTGCAATTTTGTAAAAATGTAAAGTAACCATGCTGTCATTTAAAGTCATTTCATTGTCATGAATAAAAAAGTCCCTTGTTTTTAAACTTATTACATGAATTAAAAAAACAACATAAATCATCAATATTTAGTCAGTAATAATATGTCAACCTTAGAAGAGTTAAGACATTAATAATTGGAGTAATACTGATTTTCAGACACAACAAATAAAAAAATTGTCATTTTATGGAGAATAAAAAAGATATACAGTATATAAGTATGAAGTGCCATCTGGAATTTTCTTCTACAATGAGCATTTTTGTCAGCCTCTAATGTTTATGTTCAGTTATTTCATATTAAAAGTGATGAAAATAACCTATTTTTGCCATAAAAGTAAAAAAAAAAAACTGAATCAAGACATTAAGAAAAATGCTGATATTAGAAGAAAATCTCAGATGGCACTGAAGAGATTTGTTTGCATCTGAACTCTTCATATGATAATACTTGAATAAAATGTTCAGAACTTTATAAAGTCTAATATCACTCGGCTTATTAGTCCCTGATTAATCAGAGGTCACCACAGCGGAAGGAACCGCCAAATATATGATATAGCCTATACAAACATACATACTTTACTAGAAGGTTAGATTGGTCGACTGACCTTTCTTTGCCAATAAATATTAAGTTTATGATTTCACAGGTTAATCAAATATTATTAAGACAATTTGTCATTTTATGGAGAATAAAAAAATATATATAAAGAGTAATGTGTCATCTGGAATTTTCTTCAACAATGAGCATTTTTGTCAGCCTCTTATGTTTATGTTCAGTTATTACATATTAAAAGCGATAAAAATAATAACCTATTCTTTGCCATAAAAGTTAAAATACTGAATCAAGACATTAAGAAAAAGGCTGATATGAAATCTGATGCACTTAAGAGATTTTTGCATCTGAACTCTTTATATGATAATATTCGAATAAAATGTACAGAACTTTATGAAATAAACACTTATAGCACTCTCACTATCGTTTGGCTTATTAGTCCCTGATTAATCAGAGGTCACCACAGCAGAAGGAACTGCCAAATATATGATATAGCCTATACAGTACAAACATACATACTTAACTAGAAGGTGAGATTAGTCGACTGACCTTTCTTTGCCAATAAATGTTGAGTCTATGATTTCTCAGGTTCATCAAATATTATTAACAAACTATTGAAAATGATACCTGAAAAAAAAACCTAGAAAAACTGTACGTTTACCCATAAATTGGATAAAAAGTTAAACAGAAAACTTGAAGATGGCTGTTTGACAGTGACATGAGTTTACAGGGCCACCTGTTGGAAAGAATGGAAAAAGAAAAGAAGGTGCTGGAAAGTTCAACTCGCTTTCAAAATATGTTCTGTCGAAGAATAAAACCTTTGATTTGGCCCACCACCCCATCTAGGAAGAGAGAAAGAATGATAGGTATGATTTAGAGATTGTCATTCCAAATCTAATGTAACCTTTTGTTTTATTGTTGAAAGCTAACAGTAATTAAATGTTTCAATTAAATGGTGAAAATTAATCAAGTTTAGTTTAGATAAAAGACAAATCGAGTCAAAGGCAGATTATGCTTGACTAGTGTATTCAGCGTTGAACTCTACAGTGTTATAATAGGATTGTTTATGTTTTTATTGATTCAGTTTTTATTTTATTCATTCAGTTTTCTTTGGCTTAGTCCCTTTATTTATCAGGGGTCGCCGCAGCAGAATGAACCGCTAACTTATCCAGCTTTTGTTTTACACAGCATGCCCTCCAGCCGCAACCCAGTACTGGAAAACCCATACACTCTCGCATTTTCACATACACTACGGCCAATTTAGCTTGTTCAATTCACATATACCACATGTCTTTGAATTGTGGGGAAAACTGGAGCACCCAAAGGAAACCCACGACAACACGGGGAGAACATGCAAACTCCACACAGTAAGGCCAACTGACCCAATCGGGTCTCAAACCAGCAACCTTCTTGCTATGATGCTGTTATAAGTTATCATGTTAAATGTTATCCTGCATTAGTTCATATGATTTAAAGTAATGTTTTCTAAAGAATTAAGAAATTACTAATGGCATCTTTAATGTAAAATAGTATTTTTGGCCCACGGCTCTCAATTATATTTGTTTTTTGACTTTTATACGAAAAAGTTTGACCATCCCTGCTCAAAGAACATTGAGGTAAAGTTAGTTTTATCTTCACACATTCAGTCTCGCCTTAATAATTTAATTTCACAAAAATAATCTTTGCAAAATCTAAATAGTGAAATCATAATAGCAGCCAGCGACCATCAAAGCACAACACTATTCACAGAAAAGTTCACAGAAAACACAACTCAAGAAAAAGGGTGCTAATGTTGTTTTCAACTCATACTTGCATGAGATTTCAGACTGAATATTAAAAGTACCGTAGTAAACAATGTTGGGAGGATGTCACAAGATCTTACTGAATAAATATGCGTATACAAAACGAGTCCGTAGCCAAGAGGGGTTTGGGTGTTTGAAAGACCCACCCCCCACTGACAAAGGTCCAGTATTTGTCCCATCCATGAGTCAATTTGTCCCGTTTTGACTGTTATGCCATCATAAGTTATCAAAATAACCCATCAAAAAAGGCTTTAAGACCATGCAGAATCTGATACGTCAACTTTCACTGTATTGTTGTTAACGTGAAAACATTTTATAACTTGTATTCAAAATCTTGGACCATATTCTTGAAAGAAAAATTACAAATAAGTGCAAAGCACCAAAAGTGGCCCATATTAATACTTATGAAGCGGTTGTTGTTATCCATGTATTTTCAAAAGTACTTTATATTAATGTAATATAGTTTGCTATATTTATCCTCAGCCCACTGCTCTGAATGATATTTGGTTTTTGGCTTTTATACAAAAAAGTTTGGGCACCCCTGCTCTAAAGAACATTGAGGTAAAGTTAGTTGTATCTTCACACATTCAGCTTTTCTCCTTCATAATATAATTTCACAAAAATAATCTTTGCAAATTCTAAATAGTAAAATCATAATAGCAGTCATAGACCAAAGCACAACACTGTTCACAGTCAAATAAAGAGTGCTAATGTTGTTTTAAAGTCATACTTGCATAGGATTTCAGACTGAATATTGAAAGTACCATTGTAAACTATTTAAGGGGCATGTCACAAGTTGTCACTGAATGAATATAAAACAAGCCCGTAGCCTGGGGGGGGGTTAGGTGGTTCGAAAGACCCACCCCCACTGACAAAGGTCCCACACATGAGTTAATTTGTCCCATTTTGACTGTTATGCCATCATAAGTTATCAAAGTAACCCACTGATTAAGGCTTTAAGACTATGATGCAAGTAAAGTCAAGTTTTACTGTATTGGTATTATGGAGAAAACATTTTATAACAAAGACTTAGACCAGGGGTGGCCAATCCTGTTTCTGGAGATCTACCTTCCTGCAGATTTCAGATGCCACCCTTATCAAACACACCTGTCTGTAATTATCAAGTGGATTGCAGGTCCTAATTAATTGGTTCAGGTGGGTTTGATCAGGGTAGGAGCTAAACTGTACAGGAAGGTAGATCTCCAGGAACAGGATTGAGCACCCCTGACTTAGACCATATTCTTAAAATAAAAATGACCAATAAAAAGTTGTAAAGCACCAAAAGTGAAATCGTGAAGCTCTAACATTCCAATTCTAATATTCAAATTGCCAAATTCTGAGACTGAGGAAAGTTGAAAGTGCTGGCCAAACTTTTACAGATTGCTATTTTTCCCCTAGTGGTGAATAATAAAGTAGTCTAAAAATAAGTAGGCTTTAAGTAGCATTTCTTTATTTTAAATATTAATGTTGGTACATTAAAAAGTGTGACCATCCGATAAGCTAATCCAGCAAAACAGTGCTAAACAGTTTTAGTAAAATGCAGTATTTAAACCTCATAACTAAATAAAAAAATGTAGTCGAGCAACTGCAAAAAAAAATCTAACTTTTGAGAAAAGATAACCACCCCTTTCACAAGGTTGGCGATGAGCCTGTAAAACCAACTTTACCTCTATCTAAAGAACGACGGAAATTGCCCTTTTTTATTTGTCTTTCCCATATTATTTTTTAATAACGTTTGGCACCAACACTTTTTAACAGCAGCTGAAGGTTTTATTACCTGATACACTCAGCATGTTGATCCTGGACCTCCACTGCAGCATCAGCCATCTGGAAAATGTACAGTCGTGTTTACGATTACAAAACTTTAATAAAACAGGTGAGAGGAAATGTCAACCGAAAATGCTTTTCATTCCATAACGATACACGTGTTCAAGTTCAGTAACATTACTACAGAGGGCGACATGGGACATAAAGCCTGTATCAATTAAAGGTAAAGTTTTCACCTTTCATTAGGACCACCTACCTATGATGTCACCAAACTCCAGGTAACTCACTAGCAGTAACCGCTAGATGGCGTTGAGTGACCTCAAAAGTGTGCTCTACACAAATTGCCAAAACAAAACAGAGGCAAGGATATGGCAAGCAGGTCTAACATTGAATCTATTTCTATCAATTTCAATTATTTAATCAATGGCTATAGGCTTATTCTTTAGGTAATACTACATTTTTTTTAAAGATTAGGCTACTTATTCAGATATCTGATATAGCCTAGTGTTTTCATTATTTCAGTATTGACTAGTAACAATTGTACTAGTAACACATATTTTAAATAGTTTACTTTTTAATAAGGATCAGTCATTGATAAATCAGCTATTTGGTTTTGACTTTTAGTTTTTTACAGTATATTCTAGGCTTTCCAGTATATGTTACTAGCAGTTATTCATAAAGTACTTGTAGCTCAGTTCTATAT